AAAAAAATTATAAATAAAATAATTGATATTAAAAAAAATTGTTATTTTAAATTTATAAATATGAATTTATAAGTTATTAGAAGAAAATATATCTAAATAATTAATAAATAGTGTAATAAAAAATATATGAATATACATGAAAGAATTAATTAATTTTTAAGGGCAAATAAGGAATATGAAAAATTAAAATAAAAAAGTTAATCTGAACCGTTGGTATATACAACTTTTTCAAAATTAGCTTTTTGGATCCAATAAGCTAATTGAAAACGCTAATTTACCAAACACCAAAATTAGCTGGTTTACTGGTCAAAATAAGTTAAAAGCTCTTGAAAAAACTGTTTACCAAACACCCTTTCAATCTTCTTACAAGAATATAAAGAATGATAAAAATTACTCCATTCGTCCTATAACAAAGTATCCATTTTTTCATTTTAGTCCGTCTCATAACAAAATATCAATTTCCCTTTTTAGTAATTGTACTATCTACCTAACATTATAAATACCCTTACAACTTATAATATATTACACAAATGTCATTACCTTTATATCACACAATACTAATAAAGTTATTTTAGTCATTTCTACTTTATTCCTATTACATCCCAATATAATACTAATATTTCTAAAACTCCGTTCAAAAAGCAAACAGATACATAGTTATGAGATATAGGGAGTATATGCGTAAATAAACTATAAAAGAGATATGATATTTTTTAATGTGGAAAATCTTTCACTCTCTTGAAAGAATATGAAAAACAATTAAGAAAAAAAAAATTACGGATCATCCAGACCAAAGTAGAAAGATCACTATAATCAAATTAAACATAGAATTTTTCAAGAATGCATATAAATACGCTGAGTCACAATTCAATCAACCAACATAAATAAAAAACTTAAAGAAAAATCAAGATTAAGAAAGCAAACTTAAAAAATCTGTCATATTCTGTAAATTTTTGGTCAAGTTACAGATATTCAATTAAAAAATCTCACCGTTGAATTGAAAACTCAACGAATTATGAACACTCTCTGAAAATTTCACCCCGATCCAATGGTTAACAAAGATGTGATCACCGTTTTTTCAAAACTTCGCAGTGTTGGGCGGAAATCTCATTATAATTTTTGTTGCGGACGATTTTAGCTTAATTATTTGGCTTAAAATCTCTTAAAAAACTCTAATGTTATCCATTTTTTTTTTATTAATTATCTCACTAAATCCTAATTTTATTAAAATATTTGTTATTCTAACAGAATTTAACTAATTATCCAAATTCAAATATTTAAAAAAATAAAATAAAATTTCAAAAAATTATAATTATGAAATTAAAATAACTTGTCACATATATGTATACATATATAATCTAATTTGTTACAAAAGAATAATATTAAATACAAGATATTATTTGTTTTTATATTATTGACTTAATTTTTATATTTTATCTATAAAAAAAAAAAACTTTAAAATAAAATACTAAACTAACCAACTCAGAATAACTAAAAAAAAAATAAATACATAAATACTACAAAATATAGTAAAATAATTATTTTTCCCCAAAAATCAATTTGACTATTTGACCAAATATAAGTATTCAATCACTCGTGGGAATCATTAGGTTGTATTCAAATAAAGAAATGGAGTTTTGGTATGTAATCATCTTCAATGATTCAACTATAGTGTTCAAAAGTAATCATTTGTCTTGTAACGTTAGGATAATATATATATATATATATATAAAAGAATTTTGTGTAAAAATTAAATAAATGACACAACAACTCTGAAATGACATTTATACAATTTTTTTTTTTTTTTTTTACAATGTCTTAAAATAAATTCACTACATTTAAATTGATGAAATTATACTTACACTTCTTAAAGTAAGTTAGATTTGTCCTATTAGAGCATTCCATTCTTTTGGAATTTATGAGTTTTTTATTTGAATAGTAGGTTTAGGGTGTGTTTGTTTGAAGGATTTGTAAAGATTTCTACTATTCATTTCATTTTTTCCCCCCAAAAACATCAAATCAAACACCTATTTTTCATTTTTTATATTATACTAAAAATCAATTTTACATTCAAAACATCACATCAACACCTATTTATATCACATCATACAACTATTCAAATTCAAAATTTTTACTATTCAAATCTCAACTCAAAATCCAAACCCCCAAACAAACACACCCTATGTAATACTATTAAGGGTTATATATATATATATATATTTATTAAGTATTAGAGTGGATAATATTATTGTATTCATTCTAATTATATGTTAATTATAAATTAATTAAAATTTGATATTAATTAAATATTATATTTTATTACACCAAATCAAATTTATCCAAATTATATTTATACTAAACTTTATATTTTTTATACGTAATCAAATAAAGTAAACATCATATTATTAATCTCCTTATTGTATAATCTATTAAAATAATTTTACGGATTATAATACAATCTTTTAAAGTAAACACACCTTTAAAATATGAGTTTATTCATTTTGTAATTTTGAATGCACCTGTTGGTACGAGAAATTGTATTAATAATATAAAAAAAAAAAAAGTATTTTGTGTTGAATTGTTAATTTTGTATAAGTTGATAAAATATACTTATATATTATATTTTATTAATGTGTTTATATTGTATTTTTTTTATATAATATTTATGAAAAATTGTGTTATCCAGAAAAATAAGCATAAGCACATTATATTACATAAAATCAAATTTTTATTTTTATTTATTATAGTACAGTAAAATTAATTTTACATTTAAAATATCAGATCAATATATTTATATTATACTCTCTCCGTTCCGACGGATTATGCCACTTTGTTTTGGACGATTTTTAAGAAAATATGTATTAGAAAGTTAATTGGTTTTAGTTTTGTTGACATAATAGTTGTAATAGAGTCAAATATATTTATTTATTTAATATTTTATGAGTGAAATATATTAAATAATTTTGGCAAAAATAATTTTTATATCTGGACAAATAATTTATGTAATTATTTGTAATAATACTGTTTTTTTTAAAAAAATTAAATTATTTATAATAAATTAAAAAAATATATTTGATTGGATTTATCCCAAAATTTAACTATTCACAATTTTTTTTTCTCTTACAAATATCAAATAAAAATTTTATTTTTTTATTTTTTATATTATAGTAAAAATTAATTTCACATTAAAAATATTACATCACGATATATATATATAATAAAAAATTTTAATATTCAAATTTTAAACTTTAATGTAAATCAAATAACTTTAATATTCAAACTTTAAACTTTCATGTAAATCAAATAATTTTAATATCACATAATTTTTCCTTCTAAATATATCAAATCAAACTTTTAATTTTTAATTTTTATATTATATTATAAATTATTTTTCTAGCAAAATATCACAATAATATCTATTTATGTAACATCTAATCATTATTCAAATTGAAAACTTTTACTATTAATACTCAAACCAAAAATCTGAACTCCAAACATGTTAAATTTATTCATTGATTTTTTTCTTAGAAAATTCAAATTAAACTCTTATTTATTTATTTATTTTTTACATTATATTAGAAATTAATTTTATATTAAAAATATCACATCTAAAGCTATTTATATGACATAAAAAATATTTAAATTAAAGAATTTTATTATTCAAAATTCAAAAAATCAAAATCTAAACCTCTAACGAAATATACTAGTATTAGATTTTATTCACTGATTTTTTTTCTTCCAAAACTATCAAATTAAACTCTTATTTTTAATTTTATATTATATTAAAAATTAATTTACAATCAAAACATCATCCGCATACATATTTTTATTATATGAAGCAACCTATTTAAATTAAAAAATAAATAAATTATTATTCGAAATTCATACCCTAACCAAACACTATGTTAGAGTGTATTTATCAATTTTTTCTTATAAAAATATCTAAATTAAACCCCTATATATCATTTTTATATATTATAGTAAAAATTAATTTTATATTCAAACACTATATATTAATACATATTTATATTAAATCAAAAAATTATTAAAATTAAAATTTTTTTTATTCACTCAAATCCAAAATCTAAATCTCAAATCAAATATATCATTGAAATTTATTAATTATTGAATATTTTTTAAAAATATTAAAATTAAATTTTTTTTATTTTTTAAAAATTTCAGCTACATCCTATCTAAGTTCGATTTTTTATATCATGCACGTGCCAAATATTTTTGGATTTTTAGATTATGTTTATTTTTATCAATTTTAATTAAACGTAATTAAAAATAAATTATTGAAATAATTGGGAATAAAAAACTAAATAGATTCATTTAGATTAATTAAGATATAATTGTGATTAAAATTTGTTAATTTTTATTTTTATTAAAAAATAAAATTTGCCGTAATTGAGCGAGAGGGAGGGAGTATCAAACAATTAATTCAATTCAAAAATTTTATTATTTAAATCCAAAATCTAAAATTAATTTAAAATAGAGTGTTAATTTAAATTTTTGTTTAATATATATTTTGATGTGACATTTTATTAGAAAAATAATATAAATTTTTAGAAATAATACAAGATAAATAATATTAATTTTATTCTAAAATGATAAAAAAAAAAAAAAAAATTATATCTTTTAACTTTTAAAATAACACATAATTTACATTATTTATTATAATTGTCATATGATATAACAGAGTCACTTGAACTAAAAATCACACACTTTGTTGTGACACATCTAAATGTAGGTGTGACCACATACATTAAAGCCATATCTTTGTGTGTTGCCAGCAAATTAAAAGTGATGATTAGGCACATTGTAATTGTGTATAAATATGTTCAACTATAAGAACAACTAAAAAATAAAGAGTTAATCATTTATTTATTTATTTATTTATTTTTTGTTGGCAATGAATTTTGTTATTATTATTTTAGTTGATGTTTTCACATAGACCGGAAATGTTTGTAGGTGAGTGATGACTCCAACTATGAGCATATTCTTAACTTGATAAAAATGTGTATCACTCGAATTTCTATATAAAAATCATCATAATAACTCATTAATGGCATACATTATTGATCTATATCGCTTGGCATGATCCAGACTTCATTGTTGAGATTATTAACGCTTTTTGCCTTTTTTAAGCGGTAGTCAGTTACCAGAAAAGCTAAGGCATGCGCCACAAGCGGTAGCCACCTCCGTTTGCAAGCGCTCAGAACAGCTCCTGAAAAAGACTAAGGCACGAGAGACAAGCGATCGCCTCTCCCGCTTGCAAGCGACAACTCAGACACCCACCGCTGCAGAATGTCAGCAGATTTTGACTAAGTGTTCCAACTGCAGCAGTACAGCCATTTCACTTCCAGCCAGCACAAACGAGCTAAACTGCTGATGCCCTCCAGCTCTCCGGCAAGCGAGGAAGATCTGTGCCCCTACAATCCAATGCAAGCGAAGTGGATGCCCTGGGAGTTATGGTCAGCAACTACTTCAACAGAATAACTACCAGCAACCGCCTAACTGCCCAGTGGTTGGAACCGCCCAGCAACTGCTTGCAACCGTCTCTCTGTAAAAAATAAAAGAAAAAAAAACTTCAATTTTAGAGTACTTAGCAATTACATTCTGCGCAACTTAGTTGTCTTCCTGTTCATCGAGAGCTCCAACCCTGTAAGGGAGTTCTCCATAGGAGTGGCCAAGGGAGTAGGGATTTCCGTTCTCCCTTGGCCAAGTCTTTACCGTTTTCTAGAATAGTTTACTGCTTTCAATTACAACTTTGTAGTTCTAATCTTTCCAAGTAATGAAATATCATTCAGTTCTTCATCTACATCTCCTCCACACTTTATTCATACTTATATAAACTTTGAATTTAAAGAATTTCCTTTCACTGGTTTAGAGCACTAGAAGAATTGATTATCTAAGCCTTGTTGGGCGCCAAAAGCGGTTGCAAGGTAGTTCAATATAGTTAAGTACGCAGGAGCCTTGTCGACCTGCTTGACTGCTGTTCTAAATTCAATTTTGATCAAAAAGAAGTAACAGAAGGGTAAAGCCACTAATGAGGCAGAAGTTGGGATAATTAATGGGATATAGACGGTGGTCTATTAGGTCACAGAGATTCCTAGTGACAGTAGGGTTTCTTTCTTATAATATCTCGGTTCTGAGTGTCATTGAAGTCTTGTTGTAAATCCTTTAAGGTCAAATTCTAGTGATAAGACGTCTTTACATTTCAGTTTATATAATTACACTATCTCCTTCTATCGTTTTCGTAATATACATATATCTTCGTTAACACACCTACACCACTCGCTCATTACATCCAGGGAATCCTATCCATTTAGTAACGCACAAGTCAAACACAACACCTCTTCTTCACTCTCTGTCGCTTACATATATATATATACACAGCGTGCCATCCACTCATGTCCTGTTCACTCGCTAATCGCTACTCATTCATGTCCCGTTCACTCGGTTCCCACTTCCGCTCATGTCCCGTTCACTCGATTACCGCTGACACTTTACTTTACGCCTTTGCTTCGCTCACTTCTGCTCCTTCCTTTTACCGCTTTACTTACCGCTTGATAGATTAGAAATTAAGATCCGCTGCAAAGCAGATCCTTTACTACAATTTTCGTCGTTTTTTCAAGATCTGCAACTTTTGAATTTCATGACTTAAAATCCTTGTGTTCGACTTGGAAACTCACCAATAAAAAAAGTATAAATAATTGTGATAACTACTCAGGGTCTACAACCACAAATATTACTATATCTGACCATTTTTCCATAAACATTCACTCACTAATTTTCGAATATAAATTCCTTGTGAACTTGTACAAATTACAACATACAAATTTTTGGTTATCAGTGAGCTAGACAGTACATGAATCACGGGCCTTTGTTCGTGAGTCCAAATTCAAGCTGACCCAAATAAAAAATTTTCATGTTGATAATGGACTATATGTATCTTTAGATTTTGGTTGATGTCCACATATAGTCCGATCAACGTATGGATTGAGATGGACAGTTGCGGCCCGTTCAGTGTGAAACAAGTGATCCATTTGTTGTGGCCAGAACTAATCAATCCGCGTATACTATTGATTGAGTTGAATAAATAGATTTTATGAGATTTGATTGAGAAAATACGGTAGAGTTAAGATAAGAATTTATTTAGAATGATTTTTTCCCCCCATATTTGACGTTCTTACATTGTTGAGGTTGTATACAGGTGTGAGATTGAATATGAGAAGAAAAAAGAGAGAGAGGGAGAGAGAGAAAATAAAAAAACAAATGTGAAAAGTGATGTGTGATACATAACTAAGAATTTAGATAGGGTGAGTTGCAAGGGTGTGGATGCATGGTGAGAGGCTAGGAAATCTTGGTAGATTAAGAGGAGATTGAGGGAAAAAAACATGTGATTTACAACTTTGTAAGCTTGATCCGATTCTGAATGAGTTGATGTGAGTCTGGGTTAGAATCACCTAAATGTAGATCTGACTGAACTAGGTTATCAATTTTGATTGTTTTGTTTTTCTACTTACAAAATCTGCATGTTATTTGATAATCTCATCTTTGTGGCTAAATTTGTAAGAGTATTTTGGTGTTGTGCTTATTTTATGGTTTTTTTTTGTGTTGTTTAATTGGTTGTTGGGTTTTTAAACGAATTTGAGACTAGCAATTGGTATCAGAGCTCATTTTCAAAATATTACCGAAGAATGATCCGAAGTATGTCAAAGAAGAGAGCCAGACAATCTATCAAGAAATCTGCCCAGAACCTTCATTCAAAGAATAACTAGTCTGGTAGTTCGAATAGCACCTGGATAATGGATAGACAACCTGCAAAGAATGCCCAAAAATCGAGAATTCCAAAGAAAACATCAAAACCAAAAAATTCTACAACAACCGTGAAGAATAATGAAGTTACTACACTCAAACCACAAGACAAGGTAAATATAAAGGAAAATGAGGACAACAACAACATCTTCGAGATTGATATAGAGGAGTTGGGCGAAGCTTACCAACATATGGTGGGTGAACATAAAGTATTGATTTCCAAAAATGAATACCTCAAGGGCTGTGTGGAAAGATTATAAACAAAAAATGAGTTGTTAATCGATAAAAATACAAAACTAAAAGTTATGAATGGTGCACTGTGTGCTGAGCATGAGAAAATCTTTGACAAAATTGCTTATTTAAGGAAAAAAGTTGAAGAACTTACTCTGAAAATAAGAAACTCACCGTAATGAACGATGAACTTGTAGCAGACAATAAGAAATTGACTCGGAAGTCAGATGAAAAACAGGAAAAGATTAGGCTGTTGGAAGAGGAAACCGAAAAGTTTCTGAAAGTGAATCATTGACTAACCAAGGGAAAAGAAAAGCTAAATGAAGTGCTAAGTTGGAGAAAACCATATTGGGATTACACTGGAATTTGATATACTTATTCTAAAGTCGAAGCATCTCATACCACATTCGTCGGCAGTGGAATTCTTACATAGTAGACCTTGTATGGTCAGCAAAAAAACTGCGTCTAATAAAAGCTACCAGGACATAAGGCATTGGTATGTGATCGAATTGTGCGAGATCTGTATTTTGGAAGAAAATTTTGATGGTCATCTAAAGCACTAAAGAATAACGTTATGGTAAAATTAGAGTGGAGATTGAAAAAGAAACAAGCAACATGTCCAGTTACTTTATCCACACAAGACAATTGAATGAAGTTCGTTAATGTGAACTTCTGCAATGATCTATTTGAGGAAATTAGCCAAAATTCAAATAATGATGAAATGAGATCTGAACTGAAACAAAAAACAAAAATATTAGATTGGACTGATAAAATTAATGGGGAGTCAGACTACGTTCAGACATTGCATGAACAACTCTCAGGTAGCAACAATCTTTAACTAACAATAAAAATTCTTGTCAAGGCCAACAAGAATTATCCACCATAGCTTATCATTAGAGACGTTCACTATTGCATATCCAAAATCAAACCAAACAATTTTGTTGAAGGTTTATAAAATAGAGTGTGCAGTCTTGAACACGTGCAGACAGTAAAGCAATTGACAGACATTCTAGCTAAGGCATTAGATTCGAATCAATTTGAAGAGTTTTGATGAGATCTCGGTATGTGCTCTCACTAGTAATTTATGAAACATTACTATAGAAAAGAAAAAGATTCAGTTAATTGAATGAAATGTGATTTTCTATAAGTATGAGCTTGTGAGGTCAAGAGGTGGAGCTACATGGAGAGTTTTTGAGTTGGATTGCTTTTGGATGGTATAATCCTAGCGTTGATTAGAAATTTGATAGCTTATGAGATCATGAAATGTGAATGCGTGTTGGAGTGGAGTCAAAGTATCTTTTTGTGTTTTATCCTCTTGGTTGAACTGAAGAGACTTGAGATGATGAAAATGATCCTAAGGTGGTGATGGAAATGAAAGTAAGGAGAGTTGATCCAGGGGAGGTAGAGATGTTAAAATTAAAATTAAGGTCCTTTTGTTTTGATGTTTTCCAAATGGGGAGTGATGGTGGTTGATATTCGATTATTTTCATTGAGGCATGGATCTTTTTTTATCGGAAAGATCAAAAGTTTTTATATAATATAATAAATAAATATTAATTACAAGATACACCGGGCATACATGGGGAGTCATAAAATAAAACTATCACAGGCCCACACGGCTTTAAATTCTTTGAGTCTACTGCAACTTTCAAAAAAATATGCTCGGGAAATTCTTGGCAGATTCAACATGGAAGATTGCAACAGTGTCAAGAATCCTCCGATTGTTCCAAGATGTAAGTTGATTAAAGATGATCATAATGGTATTTGTATGCGACTCTTTACAAACAAATGGTGGGATGTGTTATGTATCTGAATACTACTAGACCAGACTTAATGTTTGTTGTTAGTTTGCTCAGTCGTTACATGGACAAACTTTATGAACAACACATGGCAGCCATGAAAAGGGTTTTGAGATACATCCAAGGAACATCAAATTTTGGAATATATTTTAAGAATTGAGGCACTAATCAATTGGTGGCATTTTTTTATAGTGATTATCCAGGTAATCATGATAATCGAAGAAGCACTTCAGACTATGTTTGCTTTTTGAATGGAGGTGCTATTGTCTGGTCTTCCAAGTGACAACCAATTGTAACTCTGTCTACTGCGGAAGCCGAGTTGATAGCTGCTACAACTTGTGTCTGTCAAGTAATATGGCTTAGGGGAGTGTTGAAACATATCGGTTTGTAATCAAACACACTTATTAAGTGTGATAATGTGTCAACCATCAAACTGTCAAAAAATCCAGTGATGCATAATTGCAGTAAGCATATTGATGTTAGGTATCATTTCCTTCGAGATTTGGTTGGTGAAGGTGTTATAGAATGGAAGTATTGCAACACACAAGCTCAAATCATTGATATAATAACAAAGCCTCTGAAGTTTGAATAGTTTGAAAGGTTGTGTGGTGAGCTAGGAATGAGTGAAGTGAACTAAAGTATAAATACTAGTTTAGGAGAATGAATGTTGGTTGAATAATTTCCTGATTTTTAGGAACAGATTGATTTTTTTTAATTTAGTCTCCATAATAATAGGAAGTTTGAATAATCACGTTAAGTAATGTGTTTGCTTAATGTCTTATTATGCTGTTCTATTTATGTAAGTCATTATGGCACTTTTTAGTAGATGAATACAATTTTCGATTTATTCTTTTCTGACCATTTTTGCATTTGAACGAGTGTTAATCTGATGTATCAATATATAACATATATAAATTTACATCCATTTTATTGCATACACGTCCGTACACCTATTTATTATATATTTTACGCAATACTCTTTTATATATAAATAAAAACATAATTATTCTACCTTCTCACATTTTCAATAATAATAAAAAATTGTATTTTCAATAAAAATATATTTTTTCTTATAAAATATTTTAAAAAATAATAAAAAATATTAACTCAAACAATATCACAATATGTGTAACACTTATTTCAAATTTTCATGAGAATTTTCGTCCAATTCAATTTATAATTACTTTTTTTATTATTTTTGTTCATTTCATTATAAAATATTTATTTTTTAATTATAGTAAAGTAATCAAATCTAAATACAACAATAACTTTAATTTATTTTTTTTTTTTAAAAAAAATGAAGATTTATTTAATTTGTACTTTTATAGGTAAAAGTATCAAAATTATTTTATACAATTTTACCCATTAAGAAAATACTAAAGCGATAGAAGATTATTCCCATAAAAAAAAAAAAAAAAAAAAAAAGAAGCTAATGCCACCTATTATGGAATAATGGTTGGGTCCAATAATCTTGACTCATTTGAGGCATGAGGTAATGCATTTAGAACATATCCTGAAGTTTATTTTTAATTCACCATGTGTATACTTAATCTCAATCATTAATTAATCAAAAATAATTATTTTAGCCAGTGCGACCGGGGTTTACCCAATGCGCACTTTTGGATAACGGCTGCGGATTTTTACGTCATGAAAAAAAAAATTAAATCAATTTAAACATTATTTTAAAAATAAGCGTTGAGATTGTAAATTCAACGTAGGATCTGCATTGTAAAATAATTAACCGAAAGTTAAATTAGTGAGTTGTAATAAAACCTGATAGCCGGATTATAATTTACTTATATATAAATTGTATTTTTTCCGTCTCAACAAAAAATTATATTTTTTAATGTCTCACTCAAATGTATTATTATTATTATTATTTTTGTTGTAGTATAAAGTAATATGCATTAATACAAAAATATATTTTTTTTACATAAATCACAAATATATTATTTTATATACAAGTAATTTTTATATAAATTACAACATTAGACATACAATTAATTTATATATAAAATAAAATAAAATAAAAATCATTAAAATTATCTTATACATTTTTACTAACTAATAAGATAGTACTCCATTTGTCTAGTATAATTTGGGCATATTACTGAAGATATAATAGATAAAATATTACTAGAAAGTAATTAATAAATATATTAATAAAAATAATTATATATTAAAAGCAATCATCCTCTCAATATATAGTAACTTATATATATATACATACTGTATACATCTAATTTTTATTTAATATATTAATATAAAATTGTTTTTTTTTTATTTAAAATACTACTTTCTCTGTTCCATAACTAAATATTCATTTTTTCATGTAATTTTAAAAATATTAGTATTATATTGAGATGTAGTAAAAATAAAGTAGAAATGACTAAAATAACCTTATTAGTATATGTGATATAAAGATAATGGCATTTGTGTAGTATATTGTAAGTTGTAAAAATATTTGTAACGTTAGGTAGAGAATACAGTTACTTAAAAAAAAAAAGAAATAGATACTTTATTATAGAACGAATTAAAATGAAAAAATAAATCCTTTGTTATGAGACGGAGAAAGTATATAAAAAAATTTCAATTAATATCTTTTTTTTTTTTTTTTATCATTCCTAGAGTATCAAAATGGAGTAAAACACGATCGAGTAAATCAACTTACAAATCGAGAACACTTAAAAACATTATAATGAATGGAATTTACGTTACAAGTAAATAGTACAATCTTTATTACATTACATGGAAAAGACAAACACACAAAAGTCGCAAATAAATCCAGCAATTGAAATCATGAGTCCAAAAAAAAAGGAAAAAAAAAATATATAATAATCAAATAAATACATGTGTGTTTTTTTTTTTTTTTTTTAATCTTCTGAATTCCTAAAAGCAAGCATCCAATACACAGCAGCAACAAAGGGCAGCACAGCTGTAACAAAAAAATAATTAAATATGTACATTAGTAATTAATTTGATAAATTATTATTCAATTATTTGAAATTTTAGGGCTTTGTTTAAACAATATTTTTAAATTTTAATCTTATTTATTTTTCTTTAAATATGTCGTTCGTCCCATAACGGTTTATGGGTTTGATTTGGTCACACTATTTAAAAGTATGAAATTGAAAAAGTTAATATAATGAATTATAATATTATATTAATAAATGTTTTTGAAATATAGAAATAAAATATATTAATATGAATATTATTTTACTTTTATATAATATAAATAAATATATTTTTTTTATTTATTGAGAAAAAATAAAAATAAGAAAGATTTTGGAATATCATGTTTATGTATGGTATTGCGTATTATGAAGCTAATTAAATTAATTATTATTTATTAAATATATATTATATAAATACACGTTATTAAAAATTAAAAAAAAATTGTTAATTAAGATGAAAAGAAAAAACATATCAATTTATTTGAGATGAATAACTATAATTTTTTACTCAAAAAATAACTAAATTAACTTATAATTTTTTAAAAAAAAATTCAATACTCCAAAATATATATATATATATATATATATTTGATAAAACAGAGCCTAAAATAATTTGGCTATATTAAAATTGAATATTATAAAACAAATTAATATGAGAGTACTAACCAGCCCTTCCAGAAGCCGTCGCCTCTAGTCTGAGTGTTGGCGGGCTGGGCCGGGCCCAGATCCTGACCCGATTCGCCGTCCTTCATCGGGTAACCCGCCGGCGGCGGAGGAGCTAGGGATCCTCCGCCCGGTGGCACCACCGTCGGATACGCGGCGGCTGGCGCCGGATATGCAGCTGATAGGAAAATAACAAACCAAAACTTCAATCAGTATTTGCACTGCTTTTTTCGACTTCCAAATCGTCGGAAACAATCAAAACAGGCTTAGTTTCAATGCAAATTCACCGAAGAGAATTCTCTGTTTCAAATTCATCTAAGAGAATTCTCTGCTTCTACGCATGGTTGATTTCAATTTCAATTTCCTCGAGACTTATTTCAGCATCAACACGAACTTAATTTCAACAAAATCAAATCTCATACAAAAGCATACTGAATTTCAACACAATTTCACATTAAGTTCATCAGAAGCCAAGCTCTGCAGCCATCAACACGTACATAATTTCACCATACTGATTCTCAAAATCAATCTTCCGCGCACCGCATACTTAATTTCACTTAAGTCTAATATCGTAATTCGTAAACGACTTAATTAAAAACAACAATAAATTCTACCAAATCCAATTCAAGCTCCGTAAAACCATAAACTAAAATCACATACCTTGATTGTCGTTGTAGTTGCTCATCTCGATTTGGCGATGCGCGGAGGGTAAAGCAGCAACAGCAGCAATAGCTCAGACGCAAATACTTGAGGAAACGCAAAGGATAACGTCAACACACAGTTGGAGAAGAAGGATTATCCAAATATATATATATATAGGGCGAGGACGGCGGAGTTACGTGGAAGAGGAAGCAACCGCGGGGGCGGCGACACCGCGTGAAATGGCGGAGGAATTTCAACAAAGCGACGTCGTATCTGTCTACCTTATCGTTTTTTATTTCCGTGATTTCCTATGTGTTACTATTTTCTTCACATGATTTATTATTACTTAATTTTAGCGCATCCGATTCGTTACGCGTGGATTTCTTCTTTTATGTTAGAAGATCCCGGGAGTTGATGACTTACTAAATCTGCACCGTTGATTACCAGTATCCAAAACTTTGAACGATTCAGATTATTTTAAAAATCAGACACCTTGGATCCTCTATAAATTGCTCCTATAAATTAGTAGCCACCTGGACCAGCTTGGACTTTGTATTTCATTTATTGCTTTAATAGTACTTTATTTAAATATTCATTATTAGTGTAAAATTTATTTGATTGTTAGTCACTCTTTTATAATTTTTCCTTTTTTTTTTTTTGTTAATTTCATATAATTTGTTTATCTTTAAAAATTATTATACATGTATTAATAATATTTTAAATTTTATAATATATCATTTTTATTTTAATTAAATTAATTAGTTATGTTAATGTTAATATATAATTATATATATTATATAATAATTATTTTTTATTATTACATATTTTAATTATGTACTAATTATATTATTGTCTAGATTTTCGTATTTACAAATCGGACAAATAAGATAAGATGGAGGGTGTATTATTTTCAAAAGAAGAATCAATATATATAACTACATTTTTTAAACTATATATTTAATATATTTTAAAAATCATATTTCAATAAAACTCATGTAATAGGAATATATTTTTTTGGTAAATTTGTAGGAAAATAAAATTTTATATAATACAAATAAATTAAAAATATATATTTATTTATGATTAGTACGTATATAATTTTAAATATAGATAACAATATGTGTTTATTGGAAAATGATAAAAATAAAAAATTTTGAATGAATTTTACATGATAATATTATACGTTGAAAAATTAACTAAGTTAATTTGTATTTGTTAAATATATTTTAAATACGTACGTATCAACCATTCAAATAAAATGTGACAAACTAAAAAATAAATAAACTTATTTAGGCCAGTTGGAGTACTATATTTGATGCCTTTGTTCGTATAATGAATTAATATCATTTACAAAAAATAATATATATATATATATATATACACACACGCGCGCGAGCATTACATGACATAAATTAAATGTATATAATTTTTGTATTAATATAATACAAATATATTACTCCCTCTGTCCAAGAAGTAAGTATCTATTTGTTTTTTGCACGTAGTTTTAAAAATATTAGTATTATATTAAGATATAGTAGGAATAAAGTAGAAATGACTAATATAACCTTATTAGTATGTGTGATATAAATGTAATGATATTTGTGTAATATATTGTAAGTTGTAAGAGTATTTGTAATGTTACGGAAAAAGTACAGTTACTAAAAAAGAAAATAAATACTTTATCATAGAACAGATTAAAATGAATATTTTGTTATGAGACGAATGGAGTATATAAACTCACAATATATAATAGTATTACATAATAAATACTATTATTGTTTTTAGCGTAAAAAATATGTTCATATATCACAAAAAATTGTCAATTGATAAATTATATATTGTGTTGATTGAAACTATATAATATCGATTTATTGGTCATTTTCATATTCTATACTCCATTCGTTCCATGATTAGATATTCATTTGTTTTTTCACGTAGTTTTAGAAATATTAGTATTATATTGAAATGTAGTAAAAAAAAAGTAGAAATGATTAATATAAGCTTATTAGTATATGTGATATAAAAGTAATGATATTTGTGTAATATATTATAAGTTGTAAGAGTATTTGTAATATTAGGTAGATAGTATCATTATTAAAAAAGAAAATAAATACTTTGTTATGAAACGGACTAAAATGGAAAAATGAATACTTTGTTATGGAATGGACGGAGTATTATCACTTCTATTTTAATTAATTTTAAATTTTTTATAATATATTTTTCATATTTCCAACTAACCTGTTGATATATATATATTTTTTTCTAATATCATTAATTGCGGAGTATTTAATTTTTTTTGACAAAGTATAAACGATTTCAAATTTCTCATTATGCCACAATATAATCAATATTTTATTAAAGAAATAAGGGCAGAAAAACAATTTAAAGGAGTAGAAAAAACTCCAAATATTGACAAAGAAATTATTATTATTATTATTATTTTTTTGGAGGTGTTATAGAATTATTTTTAAATATTGTAGTTTAGAAAATAAAACGAGAATAAAATTATTATTATTATTATTATTATTATTATTTCATCATTGACAGATACTTAAAGTGTAAGTAACATGCTTATTCAAATGGAGGACGTAATGAAATCTGAACCGCCCACGTGTACACGGCAGTTACCTAATAATAATAATTATTATTATTATTATTATTATTTATTATTATTATTATTATTATTAGAAAAAAAAATCAATTTTGGTCCCAATATAAAAAACTCATCAATTTTAGTCCAAATATAAACAATTTTAATCAATTTTGGTCTCATTATAAACAATTTTTATCAATTTTGGTTCCACCGTTAAAAAACTAACGGAAATTGCTGGCGTGGATATGACGGAGGTGACGTAGCAGTTGACCTAAAAGGTACATGGCCATGTACAATTATAGACGGTCATGTACAATTCTATTTTAGTTTAAAATTTTATTTTTTTTTGTTATATTTTTTTTAAAAAAAATATTTTAAATTTAAAATAGTTGATATAGTTAAAATGGACAAAATCAATAGTAATTATAATATAATTAAAATTTACCAATTTTAATTCAAATATAAAAATTTATTAGATATATTCTTTTGAAAGGTTTTGTCTAAAATTTTATTATTCATAAAAAAAATTTTTCTTACAAACATCCAATTACAGAACTATTTTTTAATATGTATATTATAGTAGTATTAAAAATTAATTTATTATTTCAATACATTAATTGGATGTTTGTAAGAGAAATTTTTTTACTAAATAGTAGAATTTTAGACAAAATATTCCAAAAGAACATACTCGATAAATAATTATACTTGAACTAAAAATGATATATTTTAATTATATTATGATTATTATTTTTTTTTCCATTTTAACTATATCAACTATTCTAAATTCAAAAAATAAAATTTAAAATATAAAAAAAAAATTAAAATTCCCCCAGGTTAAACTAGTGCTTGCCGTTGCAGTAGGAGCCGTTCCATTGGATATGAAATATACAATAAAACGAAGACCTAGACCGAAACAGAAAGGTACATGGCCATGTAGAATTATACATGGCCGTGTAACAACATGGTCATGTATAATTTATACACTGAAATATACATGGTCATGTAACAACATGGCCGTGCATAATTGTACATGGCGGTGTAACAACATGGCATGTATAATTATACACTGAAATATACATGGCCCTGTAACAACATGACCGTGTACTTTCCAGGTCAACTGTCACGTCACCTCCGTCATGTCCACGTCAGCAATTTTTGTTAGTTTTTTAATGGCGGGACCAAAATTGATAAAAATTGTTTATAATAGGACCAAAATTGATTGAAATTGTTTATATTTGGACCAAAATTGATGAGTTTTTTTTATATTAAGACCAAAATTGATTTTTTCTCTTATTATTATTATAATTAATAACTTGGTGCAATAGATGTAATACTTCCCCAATCTATCTATTTGCATTTTGCGTCAATGTTTTTAACAATTAAAAATATCTTTATATTTGTATAATTTTTTTTAGAAATATAATTACATTAGTGTTATAAGACACCAATAGAATTATTTTTGTTGTTTTTCCTGGATTTGTGCTATGTTTTGATATAATAATTAATATTTAAACATTAACATGCAAAAAATAAATGGATAGATTCGCGGTGGACGGAGGTAGTACTAAATATTCCATCCTTTGTATTTTAATTGACATTAAAATTTTAAATTTTTTTTATTATAATAATTCGTTATCTAACATTTGGATTTAACGGTAAGAATTTGATGGTAATTTTATAGTTTTTTCATAATAAGGAATGCAAAGTTTTATCTCTAATTCTTTTTACAAACATAAAATTTTCTTCTTTTTTCTCTTTCAATGCATATGATTATTTTATTTAAATATGTAAAAAGCTAAATTAGTAAAATTAAATAAGCAATATTTACTATATTGATTAGCAAACTCTCATAATATATAAAATCCTTAAAATGTATATTAGAAAAATTTTAATCAAACAATTAGCACATATAACTATTATTTGAAAAAAAAAAAAAAGAAGTTAAATGCATTTAACTTCTGAACAAATAATTATTTTATTTAAATTTGTAAAAACTTAAATTAGCACAAGTAAACAAATGAATCAACAATATCTACTACATAATTATCAAACTCTAATAATATATGAAAATAATAATAAAAAAAGTATATATTTACTCTACAACTTAGCACATATAACTACTATTTGAACAAACAAAAGAAGAAATATATATTAAATATATTAAGGTAAGAACATATGATTATTTTATTTAAACATCAAAAAAATTAAATTAGCAAAATTAAATAAACGAATAAGCAATATCTATTACGTTGATTGACAAAGTTTGGTAATATATAAAAATAATAAGAAAAGTATATTAACAAATTTACTAAACAAAGATAACTACTATTTGTGCATGTGTAAGGAATAGCATGATGGTGTGGGGATTAGACATGTGACCGTGATGAACAAATCAAATTTAACTAAATTAAAAAAAAAAAAAAAAAAAAAAAAAAGAAAAGAAGAAAAAGAAGAAGAAGAAGAAGGAATAAACCAAATTTAAATAAGTTTTCCAAATAATTATATAGCAGACTTGATATGTTCATCAAAAGAGGGTTCAACTGCACAAAAAAAAAAAAAAAAGAATTTAGAAAATAGCATAATAAAAATAAATTATAAAATATAAAATTTAAAGTACTTACAAGATTGTCATTTGAAAAATTGTCATTCGTGTATTTTTTGAAGCAAATTCGTCAATCAAATCTTCATAATTTATTTTGTCTAAAATTTAATTTTCAATTGCTACCAAAGCTAAACCGTATATGT